AAGACATCAGATTCCTTGGAACTGGAGTTGCAGACAGTTGTTAGCTGCCATGTGGGTGTTGGGATTCGAATCTGGGTCTTCTGCAAGAACAACCAGTGTTCTTAACTGCTGAGCCATCTCTCCAGCCCCATATATAACTTCTTAAAAAATTATATATAATTATCTTTAAGCTAGGTTCGGGAGCATTATGGCAAGGTCACATGTGTACGTGTGCATGTAGAAGCCAAAGGTCAGCTTTGTGTGTCATTCTTCAGGAGTCATCTGCCTTGTTTTTTTGAGACAGTTTCTCAGTAGAGTCTGGGGCTTGCCAGTTAGGCTAGGTTATCTCTGCCCTTCCCCCAAGGCTGGGATTAGAGGCATGTACTACCATGCTTGGCTGTTTACGTGGGTGCTGTGGATCAACAATCCTCATGCTTTCAAGGTAAGCACCTTACTAATTGAGCTACCTCTCAGGAGAAGTTTGTTTTTTGTTTTGTTTTAATTCGGCAAACATACTTAATTCAGGATATATATTTAGAACATCTTCAGTTACTGAAACTGATAAAATTGGAATGTGAAGTCTAAATATTAGAGTTGTCTTTGGTTCTCAAAGACCAGTCTCAGTTCACATTTTTCCATACCTTGGATGTTTGTTCCAGAACTTGCATGATGAAGTAATGATGCCATATCTCTTAGAAGTATGCCATTTGCCCCTCGACCACCCTTGACTTCCTGAGTATTGATCTAAGGTAGTGCAGGGAATTTCTAGTTGTGATGACATGTCAGGGAGACAGGACCTGTTCAGGTGTCGTTACAACAGTGTACAAGCATGATTGGAGGCATTTGCTCCAAAACAGCTCCCTGCCCCCAACCTCAGGTCCTCATTCATTCTTCTGGAAGTCTTCATCAAGTTGCCAGGATTGTGCTAGTCCCTGGGGCTGCAGAGGAGGCAGAGCAGGCAGCTTTCCTTCCTGTGTAGCTAACTTAGCCACTAGCCGGGGAGGCAGACAACTGAAGTCTTTATGAGAAAAAGAGAAAGAAGGGCAAATGGCCTGATGAAGAGGAAGTAGTGTTTGAGTGGGTGATATGTGATTGAGCTCCCTCAGTAGGAACACACACATAGGAACATCTGTGAGAGGGAGAGTACCTGTGTGTTTGAATCATGGCTGAGCTTCCTTTGTCCCAGTGACTCCTTCATTGAAAAATACAAAGCACTGCTTGTTGTATATGCATTAACTCTTTTTATATGATCAAACTCTGGCACATAGCACTATGGCTTGCTAGGTGCAAGAGTTGTATGACTGTGCTTTGGTAAGTAGTTTAAAAAGAGGGTGACAGATATGATGTGGACTGGGCACCAGCCTCTTTTCTAGTATCAAGCCAAGCTCCTTCTGTTTAAAATAGGCTCCTGTTCACACATGTCCCCGTCACATACTCAGAAATTCAGAGATGGGCTTGGATCAACAAATTCATCCTTTGAAATGTCAACCATCATTTTAAATTGTAAGATTACCTCATATTCTCCTACTTTATTTTGTTATGATTGAATGATTTAACGTTTTATTACTTGGTGAGGCTCTTGAGAGAGTAAAATTTTGTTAGCTTGAAGAATGGGGTACTAGCACTGAGGACAGATATGTAGTGGATCTGTGGGTATCAGGTAGTAAAGGGGTGAGGGTGGGGTGGGGCTGGTGAGAACAGCAGGAGATTTCAGGGAGATAAACTGCTTTGGTCTGGTTCTGGGATTGACCCACTTTGCACATTTTCTCATATTCTGTCTTGGGCGTCTAATCTTCGTTCTGATGACTAAACTGGCAAAGTTACTATGAGTGGCTTCCATACGAGGTACCCACAGAGCAACCCAGAACCGCCATTGAAAGTCCTCACCCTAAGGGTCTTCCCTTCATTGCCCTGACAGGTAGGCAGCTGCAACAAGTGGAATTCCCAGGCCCTCCAGCTAGTCTGTGGTAGACTGCCAGAAACCTTGGCATGGGCCTGCCTCTCCAAGATGGTAGTCCCTGCAGGTCTGGGCAGTTGAGGCCTGCCCAGGTCATTAGCAGGTTCTAGGGAGTCTGTCAACGAGCTCTCAGCAGGCTTTCCAAGCTACTTGAAAGGCCCACACAAGCCCAGGTCACCCGAATGTTGTGAGGCTCAGGAATAAACCATTTGTTTTTCAGCTTTTGGCATAATAGACAATTTTGTACATTCCTAAGGGCACTAAAATACCGTACAATTTTTATGGCAGTAGTAGAAATTGCTTTCTTCTACTTAGAAAATAGCATAAAAATGTAAAAGGAAAAGCACTTCTATTTTAATCTCTAGGCCTAAAATGGAGGCCCCTGGAGTTGGTCTGTTCTTTGTAGCAATGATGTTGGTTGGGGCCTGATTTACCTTCCCTTATTCCTGATGGTTGGTTTCTTACAGATGAGATCTACGGGAACAGCTTGATTTCTACTGTGATCGACAGCTGCAACTGCTCAGACTCCAGTGACATTGAACTGAGTGATGACTGGGCTGCTAAGAAGTCTCCTAAAATTTCCAGAGCTAGCAAATCACCCAAACTCCCAAGGCAAGGCTAGGCTTCGGGGTGTTTCCCTTTTTTGTGCCTCTAACATGATGTGACTGTGTTTGTTCGGCAGAAGAGTTCCATTGAAGCTGGCTGTAACATGGATTCTGAACCATACAATGCAGTCCCATTCTAGAATCTTTTCTTGTGCAAATAAACTTAGCTGTATGGAAGAGAAGGAAACTGATAGTTGTACAACAGATCACCAACATAAGGATTTCCTCATCAGTAGACGTTAGTGGGTAGACAGATCCTCACCAAGACCTGTGCTTGTTTTGTGATTCTGTGATAGCAAGCAGAATTAAGGTGTGATTGACATACTCTCTAGGTGTGCCCTAAAGCCCAAACTTAAACAGTTCGTTGGGCAGTTAGTTGATTCACCCATGTGTGTCTGCCCAGTTCAGAACAAAAGACTTGCTCATCGTTCCAGAAGGTCTTTTGTGCTTCTTGCATTCAATATGACTTCTGTTGCTATAGATTAGTTTTGCCTGTTCTTAAGTTTCATATTAATATCAACTCTATTTAGCTTTTTTTCCTCAACACATTGTTTGAGCTTCATTTATATAATCATGTACACCAGTAGTTTGTATTTCTTTGTTGCTTGATAGAATTGTCCCGTTGTAACAAACATACTGCCCTGTGGTTATGTTCTTTACCAGTCAGCAGGTACCTGCCAATTCCCAGTTTGGTGGTGAATACATTCATTGTAAACATTTTAATGAAAGGTTTTATGGATATGTGTACTTGTTTCTCTTGTGTGTACACTTAGGAAGGGAGTTGCAGGGTCATGGGTTAAATGTATGGTAAACTCATGAAAACTACAAATAATGTATGCAAATGTCTGTAAGTTCCAGCTGCTTCTAGTCTTACAGCTCTGGTGTCACTTTAAGAAAATTTTACCTCTTCTGGTGGGTGTTTAGTGGTGTCTAGCCTAGAGTAATTTAATTCTAGACTTTCCATGGACTGAGGATGCTGAGTACCTTTTGTGTGTTTATCAACTGTCTGCTTACCTCCTTTGGTGAAGGGTCTGTTCAAGTCTTTACTCATTTTTTATTAGTTGTAAGATTTCTTTTCTGTAACTTAGAGAGAACGCCTGTCAAATATACAGATAGTCCATAATGTGAAGTTCATTTATGATCAGTGTCCTTTGGGAAATCTTTGTCTACCCTAAGACTATGAGGGTCTTTCCAGGTGCTTTTGAATTTTAGTTTTTACATTAAATCTCAGATTCCCTTATGTCCAAATTAATTTTGTTTTGTTTTGTTTTTTGGGCCAGGGTCTCCCTGTAGTCCTAGCTGGCTGGGAGCTCACTGTGTAGACCAGGCTGGCCTGGAACTCACAGAGATCCGCCTGCCTCTGCTTCTACACCCAGCTCCAAATTAATTTTTGCGTATAAATGAAAAGTAAACATTTTTTCCTGTTATTTTCCAGCTCTTCAGTGTGGTTAACGCTTTTTTCATCTAAAGCTTGTTATGAATGTCTAGCATTTCAATAGTGTTTCAGCTCTTTCCATTACTTAAACAGAGAGGGCATTTACAACACATTGTGCCTGTGGATGGCCTAGCTCACAGCTCTGCTCAGCTCAATTTCCCATGTTCCCATTCCTCAGGAGGCTGAAGTTCCTTACCAAGTTTGAATGCAGTACATATATGATGCTTCTCATAGGATGTTACAAACCTTACACATTCATCTTCCTAACGTCCTTTTTTTAAGTAGACTGGTGTTAAACATGCATTATAAACAAGGGAGCAGAGCCAGAACGTGGGATCAGAAGGCAGCAGGAAAGCTTTAGATTCCCTGATTCGATGAAGTACTAAGTAATCTGTTAAATTCAAACTGACATAGAATGGACTTTGAAAATCACAGTGGTCTCAGAATGAGAAATGAGTTCCCGCCTGCCATTTTCCCTAAGACTGATTCTGTAAATCCCAGGTAGGAGGCATGTGGCCATTTCCAAATTTGCTGTAACTCAGTAGATGTTGGGAGTTAATTCTGTGAGGTGTTGACAAATTATTTGATCTGACCTTCCTTTTTTTAAAATTCTATATATTACTCAGTATTCAGTTGGCGCTCTTTCTTCATGTACCTAAAACAAAAGCAAGAGAGCCTTGTGAAATTAGGTCCCTGGCCATCAAGAGCCAACATCCACAGCTGGCTGTCTGAGGGGAAAGAAGAGTGTTCTATCCATGCATGCCTGACCCTGCCTGATCTTGTCTTCACAGGATCAGCATTGAGGCCCGCAAGTCACCCAAGCTTCCCCGTGCTGCTCAAGAGATCTCCCGGTCTCCCCGATTGCCCATGCGCAAGCCTTCCATGGGGTCACCCAGCCTGACTCGGAGAGAGTTTCCTTTTGAAGACATGGCTCAGGTAGAAGCACATACCTGATAGTGCAGCCTCCCTTGGGATACCTGGAAGTACCACCTTCCTTCCCAACTTACCTGTCCTACTCTTTACTGTCCTAGCCTGCAGGCTACAGGACTCTCTGTCCAGTGCAGTTTGCCCCTCTCTTCCTCCAGGGAGCTCTGACTGTGATGCATTGACTTCAGCAGCTCTGCTTCCTCAAGCCTGTTCTGGTTCTGCAGTGACTCCAAGTCTGAGAAGAAATAGCACTCCTTTCAGAGCCCTCCTCCCCCAGTCTGGCCTTGCCTGCCTTCCTCAGCCCCCCTGGAAACAGGCCTTTCCCTTATCCTGTGCCTCTCCTCTGTCTAGATTACACTCTCCATTTCCTCATCCTAGTTTCTGCCCCCCACCCAGCTCAGCACCACCTTCCCTGTGACGTCTTCCTACCCTGGTCCAGCTACCATGTGCCAACACGTTGTGTTCCCAACCCCCTTCATTGGGTCATAAACTCTTCAAGGAGCTGTATTTCATCCAGTTGTATTTTTGCTCTGTGTCTGAGCATGGCAGGAACTTTTAAAACAGTTTTCATTGAATTTAATGAGAGAACAGTGATCATTGACCAGAATGGTGTCATTGCAGCTGATGTGAACAGTTACAGGTTGGAGGTTCAGACCTGGGTTCCTTCTTCAGTCCTGATTAGAAAAAAGGAGAAGGGAACAAAATGCCCCAGTCATCAGTGGCCTTTTAATTTTTAAACTTATTATTTTGTTTTGTTTTGTTATGTTGTTGCTTGTTTTATTAATTTTTTAAAGATTTGCTGTTAATTTTTTAAAGATCCAGGCTGGTCTAGAACTCACAGGACTCCTGTCTCAGTTTCCCAATTGCTGAAATTACAGGTGACCATGCCTGCTTTGTTTTGTGTGTTTGTTTAGAGATGCAGATATGCTGTGTGGTCCATGCTGGCCTCAGATTCCTGGGTTCACACAGTCCTCCCATTTCATCCAGTTCACTAGAGCAGACTACAGACATGTACCACCACACTCAGCTTGGATGACTTTTTTCTTTTTTTGTTTGAAACGGGGTTTTCTGGAGCCCAAACTGGTCTCAAACTTATAACCTTGAACTCCTGCTTCTTCTCTCCCCACCTCAGAGTGCCAAGACTATGGGTGTGTATCACCAAATCCAGTTTATGTAATGCTCCACCCCTAGAAGTGGGAGCCCATCATGCTCTAGTTAACTTCTGATAAAGTAGGCTGGACCTGGGTGTGGTTACACACACCTTTAATCCCAGAGGCAGGCAAGGCTCTGTGAGATGGGGGCCAGCCTGATCTACATAGTGAGTTCCAGGCCAGCTGGGGCTACAGGGAGACCCTTCTGAAAAAAAGTTTTTTAAATAAAGAAGGGCAGAATGATGGAAGGCATTAATATTTCTGACAGTGTGCCCTTACAGCTTTTTATACTACATGTGTTAACATTCTTACCGAGTGAACAATAGAAAATGCAGAAGTAGACCGAGGTTCTTACCTTTCTTTCCCTTTTCTCCCACAGCACAACTATCTTGCTCAAGTCACGTCCAATATCTGGGGAACCAAGTTTAAGATTGTGGGCTTAGCTGCTTTCCTGCCAACCAACCTCGGGGCAGGTAAAGACTTGTTCTGTTTTCTCACTTATTGTAGTTGGAAAAGAGACTAAACATTCCAGTTTCAACCTATAGCAACTTCAAGTGGAAATGTTAAGTCAGTGCAAGATTAGGGTAGGTGTGGCCTAACTGACTGCTGTGCTATCAGAAACACAAATTATCACCCGAACTGATTTCCCTGATAAGCTCTTGAGTTATAACACCGGTAGAAGCTGCTAAAATCTTCATTAGAACACAAAGATTTCTAGACATTTGGCCTTTATGAGCAGGTTTAGGTGGTAGTGTCCCGATTCCTCAGTCACAAGAAACTTTTGAAGAGGAGAAAAGGTAGTAAAGACTGCAAAGTTAGCTGATTTAAGAATACAGTTCCTGGCAGTCAGTATTGATAAATTTCATTTTTCAGTACCCAATAAACATCCTGCACAGGACAAGTCAGACACAGAAGAAAACTTACAGAGGGGAGTCAAGGCTGGCCAAGGCCCAGGCTCTGATTGTCCTTTGCCCTCCTGTGCACATGCGCAGTAACAGCTCGCTGCCTCACCTCAGCTCAGGGAGGAAATGGAAGTGGCAGAAGAGCCTTTCCAGAGCAGCTTCCTTCAGTCCGGCAGGTTCTTGTTTGGGGTGCAGAGCTGTGTTGTTCTCCATGCCCCCGCCGCCTCCTGAGGTGCTTCATTCGTACTGTACACGTCTCTGTGAGTGGGCCCTTCATCTCATCCGTGCACTCTACAGCTGAATGGAAATTGTCCTTCAGAAATTCTGTCTATAAGAGTTGTGTCCTGTGCAGACCTATACAGTAAATTAATTCTTTTAAACCAGATGTTGAAAATACCTGTTGATGCACTGGGGATGGAGTGCAACAGTACAGCCTTGCCTCACATCCCTAAGGCTCTGGGGTTGATCCCTGGCACCACCAACACCACAAAGCAAAAAGATCTGTGGCTGTGTGCACACCTGTGGGAACTTATTAAACAGCACAACATTCGGATTTTTCATTTTGAAGTTTCTCAGTTCAAACAAAAGACAAGTAAAAGTAAAACATAAAACTGAATTGGGAGCTGGAGAGATGGCTCACCAGTTAAGAACACTGGCTGTTCTTGCAGAAGACCCGGGTTCGAATCCCAACACCCACATGGCAGCTGTCCGTAATGCCAGTTCCAGGGGATCTGACAGCCTCTTCTGACCTCCTTGGGCATTGCATGACACGAGTGCCCTTGGATGCATGCAGGCAATACACCCATAAACATAAAATAAAAATAATAAAGTATTATTAAATTGGACTAATCCCCCAGAATAAATGAATGAATAACTAAAGAAATAAATAAATCTTACTGTGTGTAAAGCAGTGAAGAAATGAACGAGGCAGTGCACACTTGCAGCTTCTTATGCAGCAAATGTTAACATTCTTGTAAGTGACCAGTAGCAAATAGGGACTTAGACCTAGGTTCTTCCTCCTCCTCTTCCTTTTTCCCCCACAGCACAACTATCTTGCCCACACAGACAAAAAATTGTCTTATGTCAATAACCTGGAAATTCTCTGATGGCCACAAAGATATGTTCAGCTATTCACCTGTGCCATATTGACAGAGACAGCTTAGTTTTTTTGTAACCACTCTTTGAATATCATTCCCACCTGGTATGCTGAGAACTTAGCCATCTGCCTACTAAATACTGCGAAAAGGAATTGAAGTGAGAATTTCTCTATCTTTTCGAAATACTGCCCTTGTGGTGACTAGATCCACAAATAAGCCAGTGAGGCTACTAAAATGGGAGCAGAGGTGCCTTTGAGGCCTTTGAGGCCTGTGCTGCTCCAGAGTGAGTCAGCTGAGTGCCTAAGACAAGTGCTTCTGAAAGAGCATTTTGGTCCAGATAGGTATTATGACCAAGCTAAAAGAATTTCCCACTTGATTGTATTAGAGAAAAGAAAATCAACACTTAGATTCTAGGAAGTGTGTCACACATGATACCCCATTAATCTTTTTTCAAAGACAATATATAATATTCTAATGGACTTAAGTGAGTGTTCCCTATTCCGAATAGTTTGTTACTTTAAATTAGAGCAAACTGGCCCTTGAAATTTGCGTGTGTGTGTGTGTGTGTGTGAAGATTTGCTGACATATTGAGGGAGGAGAGGCTGAGCAGCTCCATCTCTGGAACTGCCTCCTCATGGCAGCCAGTATGTTGTTCAGTTCAGCATTTTTTGCTTCCTCTTGGCTTGGTGTCCCCACCCTCTTCCTTTTTTTTTTTTTTTTTTCCTTTTTTTTTCCTTTATTTGGGTTTGGGTCTTTTGGGATTGGGTTTAGATAGGGTCTCCCTGTAGCCTCAGCTTGCCAGGACTCACTGTGTAGACTAGACTATCCTTTATCTCACACAGATCTACCTGCTCTTACCTACCAAGTGCTGGGATTAGTGTGTATCAGCACTCCTGGCTCTCTTCCCTCTTCTTGATGACAAGCTCCTGCTCACCCTCAGAGACCTCAAGCTACTCTGTGGCATGCTGCCCTAGGACACAAAGCTGCACAGCTTCCAGATTAGGCCCCACACAACCTTAGTGCATTTTCTGCTGTTGTGATAAAGCGTCATAACCAAAAGTAGTTTAGGGAAGAAAGAGTTTACTTGTGCTTTTGGTGCCAGAGGGAGGAGGGAGCCCATAATTGCTGGAGAAGTATAACAACAGCCAGCCAGACAGGAAGCTGAGAGATCACATCTCCATCCACTTGCAGTAAGCAGAGAGTGAACTGGAAGTGAGCAAGGCTGTGATCTCTCAAATCCCTTCTCCAGTGATGTACTTGCTCTATGAAGACCACGCCTCCTAAACCTTCCCAGACAGCAGCAACTGGGGACCCAAGTGTTCAGATACCTGTTTCTATGGGGGATGCTTCTCAATCAAACCACCACTGTGTGCTTGCTGAGGGTCCCGGTGCGCTAGCCGTGCCTGGGCTTGCTCCTCTTCGCCTCTGGACTTAAAGTCCAAGGCCATGGCTAGTGCAGAGCCCAGGTGACTGCTGCTCCCAGTGGTGGCTGCCGCCAGCCATGATACTTCTATTTTAACTTTTCACATTTAGAATTTTAACACTACACAATAGATTCAAAGTTCAAAAGTGTTGGGGGGGTGGTATACAGTAAAAAAAATCATTTAGTTTTCTTTTCTGAAGGCAACTGATATTTCTAATTGTCTTTCAGGTTTTGTTTTATTTTTTTAAGTTTACTGTTTTATCGATCTGAACAATAAAGGATAGCTCTTTAATGTGCTAATTCGGGACCTTCGGGAACATGCAGAAGTTTTTCACTAAAATTCATGTTCTCTTTTGTGGGCAAGAGAGATGAGCATGTGAGTTAAACTTTTCCTACTTCTGGGTAGACAAAGAAGCCTTCTGAGCAACAGCCTCACACGGCCTCCACAAAGGCAGATGCTTCGGGGACACAAATTAGCTTTGACAGGCCTCAAGAAATATAGAAGAAACGAAATTGAGCAAGGGGCAGTAAGGTAGGGGTGGAGACAGGAGGGGATGTGAATATGATGCTGGCTCCTCAGGCCCTGAGCTGATGGAGGGACCGCAGTAGAGACAGGATATAGCTTCTCCTAACAAAATTACTGAATAAAAAACCCCATCTCCAGTCTCACAGGAAAGAGTATTAAACATAAAAGATGGGCTGGTGAGGTGGCTCAGTGGGTAAAGGTGCTTTTGTGCAGGCCAGACAACCTAAGTTCAATCCCTCAATCCCACAAGGTTGCAGAAGAGAACCGGCTCCCTGGAACTGTCCTCTTAGCTACACATGTGACTTATGTCTGTATGCACCTGTTCATACACTAAATAAAGATTTTAAAAATTCAGTTTTTAAGCGTAAAAAGAGAATTGGCAGAGTCTTACATCCCGTTTTTAACCTGCTGTGAAACTTCAACTTAAGATTCATAATTTCTAAGTTAATTTTTTTTCTAAATTTTACATTTGCAGGTTAGACTTCCCCTTAAATGTCTGTATTAATCAAAGTAATCTTAAGAGTTAAAAAAAAAAACTCTGAAAGTGCCTGTAAATCCCTATGCAGATCATTAGATTAAACTGGAATTCTGTAAGACAAGAATCCAGTCCTGAAGGACATGGAAATTTCAGTTTCAAAGAACTCCTGATTGCCTGAGGCTCCCCTGGCTTTGCAGTCTTGTCACCATTTGCTCTAAATCATCCTTCTGGCAGCAAATGAAGCTTTTAAAGATGTATTTTTCCTATCTTGGCTCATTGCAAAAAACATATATTTATTTAAGGTACATTTTTGATGTTCAGAATTTGTGGTTCTGTAGATAGACTGTTGATAGAGTGACTAAACTAATCCAGGAATTTGCCACTGCCCACATGGCTATGTTATTGTGAGGTGCTTCACCAGAGAAGACCACTCAGACAAAGTTCTGCTGAATGAAAGTCGTTGCTGGCCAGGACTACTACACAAGGGTGTCAGAACCCAAGTGTGTAGCCCTGAGCCATCTCTAGCGTAAGCTTTTATACAGAGAAACTATAACCAGGGGTGAAAAGTTCCCAAGCTTACAGGTGCAAAACCCCCTTAACAATTTCTGTTCTATTAAGTAACAATTACTATTTTGCAGAAGCAAGCCAAGTATAACCTACAGAAGCCATAAGTCTGCACTTAGCAGGTGTTCTTCAGGACACCCTGACCTGTTCCCAAGATAACCGGGGTCCATCTGACATGTGTCCCCATACGCTGGGCTAACTGCCTGATAAGTTCAGAGACTAGAGTCAGCCTAAACTTTAACATGGCATAGCTATGGTCAAGAAAGTGCCTTATTATACAGTTTGTGTCCGAAGAAGCAAAGGGCTCCTCTCACACTCTTGCCCAGCCTGTACAGATTTGCCTTCTGATGGCAGGGATCCACGGCCCTCCAGTTCTCTTCCCATCACTCCACTGATGCTTTGGCTCTCCTCTGATGTATCTCCACTAATTATGTCCTTCTTCCTCCCCACCAGTAATCTATAAGACCAGCCTGCTGCATCTCCAGCCACGGCAGATGACCATTTATCTCCCAGAAGTTCGGAAGATTTCTATGGACTGTATTAATTTACCTGTCTTCAACCCAAATGTTTTCAGTGAAGATGAAGATGATTTACCAGGTGTGTTCACATAGGTGGACTTGTCTGTCATAGCCCCCCTTAGTGGACCATGCAAGGGAGGCAGAGTGGTAAGTCATTCAGTACAGCCTGCTGCCTAGGTTTGGAAAAGGCCCACTTCACTTGGTATATTGGATATACTTGATGGTATGTCCTGGGAGAGATGCCACAGGTGGATCCTTGTTTAGTAGGAGGGAAACCACCAGAACATGAATGGTTAAGGTGGCAGTGACACCTGAGTTCACAGAGCTCTTCTCACATCTCATTTTACCTTCATAATAACCTTTTGTGTCATGTGTCAATAAATAGAAGTTAGAAGGTCTGTATCAAATCAAAACTAAAACCCTGTCTTGGTGGTCTAGCTGAGCCTCCACCCTTTTCATCCCTACTTGAAGAACACCTCTCCAGAGACTTTTTGTGCCTATAGATCCCAGCTCCTCAAACCTGCCTCACCTCTAGGACTTGGAACCTTTGCATTGGAACAGCTCTCTTCCACCATGCAGTGCGTTCCTGTGCACAGAGCATGCCCTGATTAAAAGTGATATCTGATACTCTTTAAAATCTGTTTTAAAAATTGTCAGGTATCTTCAGAGGGGGCAGTGTTAGAGTAGCAAAAAAAAAAAGAGTACATGAAGTTAACAGAAAAAAGTGATGGGGAAATATGGGAGGATTTGGAGGGTAGGAAGTGGACATGGATTTGATCAAAACACCTTCTATGCATGTATGAAAGTCTCAATAAATTATTTTAAAAAATAATAATTACCCCAGACCTTTCATCAGCAAGCATGAAAATCAGAAGAGCATAGAATAAAATATTTTGAGTTCTGGGGGGAAAAACTTGTCAGATGTCTGTGGTACCTTCAGTTATTTGTTTTCTACAGGGTGAGGACTAGATCCTTAAAGGATCCTGTTTTAGTCATAGATTAGAATGATTTCTAAGCTACCAGTTAGTTGTTTCTAACTTTTCTCAGTTACTCAAGGACACTAGAGAATCTACCTTTTCTAAGTAAAAGTCCACTTGTAACTTTGTAGATACAGAGACTGTACTTCCCACATCTAAACCTGAAGTTTGGTGAATGAAGCCTTGGATACTTGTACTTGATGGCACATCCCCTGCCATTTCAGTCTCAGCTTTAGAAGTGGCTCATGCTCTCCCTTTAACAACCTCCCTGTTCTCCTAAAGGCAGTGAATGTAGCTGTCTCCAGGGCTCAATGGCTGCTGCAACTGTCATTGCAGCCTCTAGTTCCCACTTGAGAGGATGGAGTGCACCTTCTCAAGGCTCACATTCAATGATTGTGACTCCATAGAGACTCTCCTGTGGAGGGGAAGATATCTTAAGCCATTGCTCACTGTGGACCAAAATATCTCAGCGGTATCTGTATAGGAATGGCAGGAATCTTGAGGTAGGACTCAGATTCTTGCAGCTAGAGGGTCAGCTATCTCAATGGAGGCTGCAGGGAAGAGGGAAAGGTAGTTCTAGGCCCCAGGGTTAGACTTGGCTTCTGCCATCTAGGTGGCTGCATTCTACTGTTCTGGTGTGAGGTCAGCCAACCCATATAGTGAACCTGTGAGATCCTATTTGTCGCCTAATTATTTCTTGCCACATAGCCCTTAACACCAGACCTCTGGGTCTGTGGCAGTGTCTCTGAGGAGGCGGCATACTTATTCAATAGACTGAGTAGCAAAATTGCTGGAGTCAGTCAGCACTTCCATCACGGACACAGTCTGTGACTCAGCGCCTGAAGTCACTGTTGACATGCATGGTCCTTGAAATTACCACTGGGTATTGAATGGAATAGTCAGTTTTATTTTGTGTAGCTCTACCCTAAATGCTGTTGGAAATGCTGAAAATCAGTAAATTGGGAAATGATCATTCACCTAATATGCACATTTCCAGAGGATTCTTCTCACTATTTTTTTCTATATTTTATAGAGTTTATATACAAATTTCAAGTGCATATCTGACACCTAACACTTCACATACTACACAGTCCATAATTGTGGATGGTCCTGCTTGGAAATTTAGGCATTATGAGTCCTCAATGGAGTCCCATACTGTACCACTGTCCTCTTGTTGCAGAAAGGACAGGCGCTTTATGAGTACAGTTAAAAGGAATTCTTTAGACATTTAGTTATTGATGGTTGTACTATGCAGGCACCAGATACCAAATTCAGAAGGTTCAAACATGTTCTTTGAGATGTTTTGACAATGCCCTTAGCCCAGCAGGCCATGCTGCAGCCCCACCCCCAACCTCACCCTCCTGTTGTTTGTGTATTGTTACAGGAATATTAGAGAAGCTTTGTGAACAGCCCAGCTCTCTCCATGCAAACACATCTCACTAGTAGTTGCATTTCGCTCGTAAAAGATGGGATAAGTCCAATGTATTGCTTATTCTGAGCTGGTTCCATGACAGTTTTGCAAGCAGTTCTCTTTTCTGATTTCTTTCCAGTGACAGGAGCATCAGGTGTGCCTGAGAACAACCCACCTTGTACCGTCAACATCCCTATTGCACCAATCCACAGCTCAGCTCAAGCTCTGTCCCCTACGCAGAGCATAGGGTTGGTACAGTCCCTGCTGGCCAATCAGAATGTACAGCTGGATGTCTTGACCAATCAGACAACAGCTGTAGGGGCAGTAGAACATGCAGGAGACAGTACCACCCAATACCCAGTCTCCAGTCGGTACTCCAACCCTGGACAGGTGATTTTTGGAGGTGTGGAAATGGGCCGCATCATTCAGAACCCTCCTCAGTTGCCTTTGCCACCACCGCCACCCCCACCACAGGGGCCCATGCAGCTGTCTGTGATGGACCATGGAGACCGAGAGCTTGAGCACCTGCAGAAGTCAGCCAAGGCACTGCGGCCAGTGCCTCAGTTGGCAGCTGAGGGGGATGCTGTGGTTTTCAGTGCCCCCCAGGAGGTCCAGGTGACAAAGATGAATCCCCCACCCCCCTATCCAGGAACTATCCCTGCTGCCCCGACCACGGCGGCACCCCCACCCCCTCTGCCGCCACCCCAGCCTCCAGTGGATGTATGTCTGAAGAAAGGCGACTTCTCACTCTACCCTACGGCAACACACTATCAGCCTCCCCTAGGCTATGAGAGGATCACCACCTTTGATAGTAGTGGCAATGTGGAGGAGGTGTGTCGACCTCGCACTCGGATGCTCTGTTCCCAGAACACCTACACCCTCCCTGGTCCAGGCAGCTCTGCTACCTTGAGACTCACAGCCACTGAGAAGAAAGTCCCCCAGCCCTGCACCAGTGCCACGCTGAACCGCCTGACTGTCCCTCGCTACTCCATTCCCACTGGGGACCCACCTCCATATCCTGAAATTGCTAGCCAGCTGACCCAGGGACGGAGTGCTGCCCAAAGACTGGACAGCAGCCTCATCCACGCCACCCTACGGAGGAACAACCGTGAGGTTGCACTTAAGATGGCCCAGCTGGCTGACAGCTCTCGTGTCCCACTGCAGCCCCTGGCCAAGCCCAAGGTTGGCCCTGGTGGGGCAGGGGCACAGCTCCCAACAAGGCCTCCACCTGCCCTGTATACTTGCAGCCAGTGCAGTGGCGCAGGGCCCAGCTCACAGCCAGGAGCCGTCCTGACCCACGCTATCAGCACCTCCCCGCTGGCCTCCCAGTCCTCCTACAATCTCCTGAGCCCTCCTGACACCTCCCGAGATCGCACCGACTATGTCAACTCGGCCTTCACAGAGGATGAGGCCCTGACCCAGCACTGTCAGCTCGAGAAGCCCCTGAGGCATCCCCCACTACCTGAAACTACTGTCACCATGAAGCGGCCTCCCCCTTACCAGTGGGACCCTGTGCTAGGTGAGGATGTTTGGGTTCCTCAGGAAAGGACAGCACAGCCTGCAGTGCCCAACCCCTTAAAACTGTCCCCTCTGATGCTAGGGCAAAGCCAGCACCTGGATGTGGCTCGAGTGCCCTTTGTCTCTCCCAAGTCTCCCTCTAGCCCTACTGCCACTTTCCAGACAGGCTATGGGATGGGAGTGCCATATCCAGGGAGCTATAACACCCCCCCTTTGCCTGGAGTACAGGCTCCCTGCTCTCCCAAAGACACCCTGTCCCCAGCGCAGTTTGCACACCAGGAGTCCGCTGTTGCCCTTCAACCAGCGTACCCACCCAGCCTCTCCTATTGCACCTTGCCCCCCACATACCCAGGAAGCAGCACCTGCTCCAGTTTACAGCTGCCACCTATCGCCTTGCACCCATGGAGTTCCTACAGTACCTGCCCACCTGCGCAAAATCCCCAGGGCACTCTCCCCTCCAAGCCCCACTTGGTTGTAGAAAAACCCCTTGTGTCCCCCCCACCCGCTGATCTCCAAAGCCACATGGGCACAGAGGTGATGGTAGAGACTGCAGACAACTTCCAAGAAGTCCTCTCTCTGACAGAAAGCCCTGTCCCCCAGAGAACAGAAAAGTTTGGAAAGAAGAACCGGAAGCGCCTGGACAGCCGCACTGAGGAAGGAAGCGTTCAAGCCATCACAGAGGGCAAGGTGAAGAAGGAGGCTAGGACTTTGAGTGACTTCAATTCCCTCATTTCCAGCCCCCGCCTTGGGAGAGAGAAGAAGAAGGTGAAAAGTCAGAAAGACCAACTAAAGTCAAAAAAGTTGAACAAGACGAACGAATTCCAGGACAGCTCCGAGAGTGAGCCTGAGCTGTTCATCAGTGGGGACGAGCTGATGAACCAGAGCCAGGGCAGCAAGAAGGGCTGGAAGAGCAAGAGGAGCCTGCGGACCGCCAGCGAGCTGGAGGAGTTCAAGTGCCGCAAGGCCAGCGAGAAGGAGGACGGGCGGCTTGGCAGCCAGGGCTTCGTGTACGTGATGGCCAACAAGCAGCCCCTGTGGAATGAGGCCACACAGGTGTACCAGCTGGACTTTGGAGGACGGGTGACCCAGGAGTCAGCCAAGAACTTCCAGATCGAGTTGGAGGGGCGGCAGGTAAGGAGGCTTTGACCATTGAACGAAGGATGCCGGTGCTTTGGCCTCCAGGAGCACTTGTGGAAAGGCCAGGCAGGAAATAAGAGAAATAGCTTCTACCTCTCAGGCTAGTTGGCTGGGGTTAGAATCCTCTGTGTGCCTACTGCTGCCCTGAATGTATTTTTAATTCATGTAGTCAGATAGGTCCATGATGTTTGTAAAGAAAACTAGCAGGCCCCCTGCACCTCCAGCACCGCTTACCATCCCTGCCCCCCTGCACCCCTGCGTCTCTTACCCTCCCTGCACCCCTTACCCCCCTGCACCCCTGACCATCCCAGCTCTTCTACTTGCAGGTGCTCCCCTAAGTTTAGAATTTTCTTCCATTGTATTTGCAAAGAACATACATTTTTGTTGGTCGATGCTTCCATTTTGGATGTCCTGTATTGCCTGCCTCCCGTAGAACTCGCCTGCAGACTGCTGTCTACTTCCCTCAGGCGCTGGCAGATCTGCTGACCTCTTTCCCACTGTTTCTTTTCATGACTTTACTCCTCTGACACCTTTACCCCCAAGATGATACAATTTTAATAGATTGACTGCAGTACGTGAAGTGCTCCGCTCTGGAAGATGCTTGCTTCACCCCACCTCCTCCACCTCACGTGCACACGAGCCCCCACCTCCCAGTTTAAGCAGCCATTGGTGACTGTTAATGTTGATTACAGCTGTGCCTTGTATGTTTTCCCTGAGCATTTTAATTGCCTAGTCTTTGCTTATTGTGTTTTTCCTGCTAAGTCGTCCTCAGTTCTCTAATGGATCAAACCATAGGTGACCAGTCCAGTGTTTCTTGCTGTCTCACGGGTGGCCTCTCTGTCCTGCCACCTCAAGTCTCTTCACCATCCTGGGGAGTTCATGCTTCTTCTGGTTTTAAATTTTCATTTTCATTAATTCACTCATCAAATATTTTTTGGTATCTGTGTGTGCCTGGCAATCTCTAAGCACCCTGCACCCCTTACCCTCCCTGCACCCCTTACCCCCCTGCACCCCTTACCATCCCAGCTCTTCTACTTGCAGGTGCTCCCCTAAGTTTAGAATTTTCTTCCATTGTATTTGCAAAGAACATACATTTTTGTTGGTCGATGCTTCCATTTTGGATGTCCTGTATTGCCTGCCTCCCGTAGAACTCGCCTGCAGACTGCTGTCTACTTCCCTCAGGCGCTGGCAGATCTGCTGACCTCTTTCCCACTGTTTCTTTTCATGACTTTACTCCTCTGACACCTTTACCCCCAAGATGATACAATTTTAATAGATTGACTGCAGTACGTGAAGTGCTCCGCTCTGGAAGATGCTTGCTTCACCCCACCTCCTCCACCTCACGTGCACACGAGCCCCCACCTCCCAGTTTAAGCAGCCATTGGTGACTGTTAATGTTGATTACAGCTGTGCCTTGTATGTTTTCCCTGAGCATTTTAATTGCCTAGTCTTTGCTTATTGTGTTTTTCCTGCTAAGTCGTCCTCAGTTCTCTAATGGATCAAACCATAGGTGACCAGTCCAGTGTTTCTTGCTGTCTCACGGGTGGCCTCTCTGTCCTGCCACCTCAAGTCTCTTCACCATCCTGGGGAGTTCATGCTTCTTCTGGTTTTAAATTTTCATTTTCATTAATTCACTCATCAAATATTTTTTGGTATCTGTGTGTGCCTGGCAATCTCTAAGCAGGAATTGGCAGGCTGCCCCATGGGTCCATCTGACTCCTTACCTGTTTGTAAATAAAGTTTTATTGAAACACAGTCCTGTGTACTCAAGTCTACAACTACTTTCATCTGACACAACCCAAGTTGAGTGATTTCTGAAGAGTAGATGCCCTACAAAGCCTAAAGTGCTTATCAGCCCTGCTTAGGATGTGAGCGCATTGATAAAAGTAGAAATCACTGTCGTCCTGCAGCTTTCAAAGAACGGAGAAGGACCACAAAGAAATCAGTATGTATCCATGATAGGTAGTGTTCTGAGACCACAGGAAGTAGTAGTCACCAGTACAGCAGGGTAAGGAGGCAGAGCATGATGGAGAGGAGGCTGTGATGTTCTAGAATGGTGATCAAAAAAGCCCACTCTGAGGCAGAGATAATGAGTCAAGCTGGCGTACCTCCAAAATCTCTTGCAGCCTGTACACTCTTCTTTCTTCGTTCTCTCTCTTTTTTCCGTCTTGGTGAAGAATGGGCTTTACCTTTGGTGTTCCATGTGAGCTCATTGTCTGTCTCCCCTTTCCGTCATTCACGCGTGCTCCTCTGTCCTGTGTTCTGTAGACCTGTAGTTAGCTCTAGAAGCACCGTCACATTCAGGCACTTGAGCTGGGAAACTCTCAAGGACTGTGCTGTGTGCTTCCTTCTGGAGCTGGCAGATACGGCTGCTGCGTTCCCACCTTTTTTCCTTCATGTATTTGCTTTCTGCGCCCTTCCCCAGGTGATGCAGTTCGGACGGATCGATGGTAACGCGTACATCCTCGACTTTCAGTACCCCTTCTCAGCTGTGCAGGCTTTCGCTGTGGCCCTGGCCAATGTGACTCAGCGCCTCAAATGAAGAGACGGATGCAGGAGGAGTCATGCCAGGAGCCTTTGGAGGCAGAGCTCATGCTGCCAACACCCAGGAGGACCAGAGACAGCGGCAGAGGTGGAAGAGCCCATCGGGCTAGGAGAGCACAGGTCTTAGGCGTGGCCATTTGTCCAGTCCTCCTTTACTGTCTTTCTTTTCCCCTTTTGGTAGAGTGGTATTTGGAAACCAGGAGTGCGAGGTACCTGTGTTCTGTAAGTCAGTGCAGCTTGCCTAGAGAATAGTTTTGCTGACTTTACTTCCCAGTGACTGGGACAAGGGCCTTTGGAGAGAAGATGGACTGCTTCTAACCTGCTGTTATTAGACACAGGGAGGGAGGAAGTGCTCATTCTCCCTGACATCTGGCCTTCGTTACCTTTCTAGCATTACCACTAGTACAAAACAAAAAATATTTTTGAAAACGCAACCAAAAATCTTGAAGATTCAGCTCTCTAAAGGAGAAGGGCGGCATTTAATTCACACATATGATGCTGCTCCCAGGATGCCTGGATGAATGAAGGACATGTATGCAAAATGTCCATGTTCCACTAATGAAAGTAAGCTGATTTGGTAGGCAGTGTGTTAGGGAAGGAAGAGACTGCCCTTGGAGACAGGCTCGCAGCACTCTGCAGACACCTGGTTGACTTGATGTGCTTTGTGCAAGGGCTCTTCTTTTGTAAGGATGATAGGTGAGAGACTCCACTAGTTTCCTGTGCTGTGCATGGGATCAATGAAATGATCCCATCTGACTTTGGAAGAAGGTAACAGATATGAGTAGGCAGATCCCAGCTAGGGCAGAGCTGGGATCCTATCCCATAGTCAGTTGACCAGACCCCCTAGTTTGTTGAGAAACCGTCTTTATCTTCCTTATGCCTTTGTTCGTTTTAATCTGGAGCATATTACTGTAAAACCCTTCTCTTAGATAACATTGCTATATCTTTGCTGAAGTATGGATGAGACTTGATTTGAAGCTGCCCCTTTCCACCCTTTGTCCACATTACAAATCAGTTGACAAGAAATACTTTACCTCAGTTAGAAGTGTAATCAAATGTTTAAGCATTTGCCAGGATACTAAAAGACAGGGTATAGTCAAATCCTTGACAAAAGCGTCACAATATTCTCTAAGGGAGAAAAGCTGTTTATTCAGTGTAGAGACAGTACCAGAAGATAAACCACGGGAAACATGGTTAAATTCAAAGTAGTCAAGTCTGCCTACAGTATCTTTGCCCACTCCCCCTCTCATGGGAACACACCTTGGGCAAATATTCAAACCTGATAGTAAGACTCAGTCGATGTTGTTATTGTTAGTCCTACCTGTCACAGTGTTTATTACCAGAACACAAGAGCTGTCAGCTGGCTTTGACTCCTAAACTTGGACCTTATTTGAAAGCTAACTAGTGGAAGATGATACAGAAAATTATTTTCAGATTAAACATTGTTTTTTTTGTTTTTGTTTTGATTTCCTGCGTTTAAGAATTAGGAAGCAAACTGCCCAGTTCCTTTACCACAGCAAGATGAAACCTCTCCTCACTCTTTCCAAATTCCAAAGAAATGCTGACAAGGTTTTTAATGATGGCAAAGGACATCTTCCAGCTGACTCTGGAGGTGTCTGTTTTATAGTTCAAAATATGACACCTGATTCTTTGGTGGGCAAATTCTTCTAGAAAGAGCTGAATGATATATTCAGAGTTACTGAGTTGTTTTGCCTAAGTTTCCATAGCTTGATAAGGTGTTTTAGTGCTTATTATTAGTAGCTGTGCAATAATGGTTGTAACCTGTTTATGAAATGATTTAAATGCAATTTTCTTTGTTTTGTTGTCCAAGAAATAGTTATTTGTCTTGCTTTTCATAGTAGTCTTAGAAATTTTGTTACTATGTATTGGTGATTTATGCCCATTTTATTTATTTAGAAAAGCAGACCCTTTGTATTGACTTATTTGGTAGCAGTATATTTTGCTGCAAGAAATAAAGAGAATGTGACAGAAGATGTGTTTGCTGGATAATTTGTAACTTTCCCTAGAATTGGGAGAAAGTCCGATTAATCCCTTAAAAATAGCCAGGCGTGGTGGTGCACGCCTTTAATCCCAGCACTCGGGAAGCAGAGGCAGGCGGATCTCTGTGAGTTCAAGCCCAGCCTGGTCTACATAATGAGTTCCAGGCCAGCTGAGGCTACAAGAGAGACCCTGTCTCAAAAAGACCAAAAAAAAAAAAAGTTCACTCTTTATCTCATGGTATTGATTTATATGCAAAGGATGGTATTTCTTTATGATTGCATACCTTAAAGTATTTCCCCTTATTTTTGACATATTTAGTTAAAAATAAAAGATGGGAAAAAGGGCAAGTGAGATGCCTTAGATAAGAGCATCGAGGTAATGGCCTCTTAAGGAATAAGCTTCAGGATTTTTACTTCAAATTGGCTTTTTGAAAAAACTACAGAAGAATGTACTTTAAAACTTTTATTAAGAACAAACATAGAAGAAATCCCCCCAAAGACATGCAGGCTTCCTATCTTGGCACATGATGTGTGCCCTGGGAGAGCGGGCCAGGAGCAGCTGCCCCACCCATTTGGGCAGGCAGGAGGACTGGGCCTCAGGTGCCACATGGGCAGTAGGCAGCTGACGGCAGCCCTCGTGACAGTGTCTTCTAAGGTCATGCTGGCGAGTTCTTTTAAAATCTGCTTCATTCAGTCAGTCTCACACAATACTTCTCAAGTTAGGACTTTAAGCAACAGAGTTCTACGTACTTGATGGTTGTTGATGGCACTTAGAGATGTCCAGAGGTCTCATTTGCTCCTCAAATTCAAAAACATTAGTCCAGCTGGGTGTGTGGCGCACGCCTGTAGTCCCAGCACTTGGGAGGCAGAGGCAGGCGAATCTCTGTGAGTTCTAGGCCAGCCTGGTCTACATAGTGAGTTCCAGGACAGCTGGGAGCTTACAGGGAGACCCTGCTTCAAAAAGACCAAAAAAAAAAAGAAAAAAAGTCCAGCAAAAGGTAAACTACATAAAGACTTGTGGGAAGAAAACAGTATAATTAACAAAGATAAAAGACAGATTTCAATTTGTTTGGCTCTAACTTCAAGCCAAATGCCATGGATGTATGGACAGTATCCATTGAATGTACAGCCTGAGAAAAGTTGGGACCAAAGAAGCAGGAAATACTCAAAGCACTGATAGCCACACAAAGCAAAGGCTCGTGCAGGTTGATATTTCATCCTTTGCCAGTGCTCCCTTGTGATGCAGTGCCCATGCCGTAGTCACAGAAGGTCAGGAAGCTGGAGATGGAACTTGCTCTGTCACAAAGATGGGAGTAACCCTGGGCAAGTCCCTGGGAATCCCTGGACACCCTTGCAAACTTCATGCTGGTGCTAGCAGTCTGAGTGCAGCACTGAACAGCTCATCTTCCCACTTTACAAAGGTGAAAGCATGTTTCAAAACATTTTTTTGTAGAGAAAATGTTTCCTGAGTGTACAGCTGTCTACTTACTGTTTCCTGAACCACTTACCATGTGTTCACAAAGTTTACCTCTAAATGCATTTGGAATCATGTTTGTTCTAATAAAATTACAGAACTACCAGTTCCAGGCACTTTGGAAGAATGCCCTGGGAGTGTGCCCTACTTAGTGGGTCACCCTTAATAGGCGTGTGCTAAAACTGAGGGTGAATTCGGAAAGAATTGAGGAGTGCTAATCTAGGCTTGCCGCATTTAGCATGCTCCCGTGCAGGGGTGTTAACACTATTTTCAAATTCAAGAGGTGTCTTAGAAAGGGACTTGTAGAAAAGGAACCCATGCTTATCCCTATGTGGACTGTAGATTTCATGGCCAAGTCATGGGTTGTAGACAAAGTTAGCTGGGTCAGAAGTGTCGTTTGAGGTCCCTGGAGTCCGCACCAGCGTGCAGCTCAGCCTTCCGCACTGGTCCTGTGTCTCCTCTCTGGCTGATAACAAGGGCTGTGGCTTGTTTGCGTTTTTCTTTGGCCTTGTGCGGTTTTCTTGTGCTTGTATCTATTTTCTGTTTACAAGTTATTTTTAAAGGGAAGTGTAGGATTTTAAGATCTTGTTTATTGTAGTAAAGTTTTTTTCGTATTGTAGAAAAGCATGGGTTATGCATTTGAGTGAAAAAGGCACTGTGTTGTTTACCAAAGGGTATTGTTCCCCATTTGTGTATAAATGCATTATTTTAGTACTGTACATTTGGACATAATTTCTGAGTTTACTGCTCCTGGCATCTCTTCTTTTTATTCCCATGAATGTGCAGTGTGGGTACACAGGTTCCCCGAGACCAAACAAGACCACCAGCATGTTCTTGTCCACACTTCAGGAATGGCGTGCACTGATGTGCGCCCTTCAGCCACTCCAGTGCTGTTCTCCTTTTTAAATTCAGCATCTTACTTTGTTTTACTTTCCAGACAAGATCTGTTGAGAGTTACCATTGCATTTCAATGAGCTCTCGCTTATTTACCTGTCTTGTATGTATTTCTGTATTAGATTGTGCAGGAGGTATTCTAGAAGGCGTTAATCATTTGCATTCAAAGTAATGTGATTTGTTAAGTTACTTTCTGTCTTTATTATTGAGATGGGTTAATCTCATTTTTTTTTCTTGATGAATTGAAATTGTAAGATTTGTCCAGCTATTGCTTAATAAAATTTTGCAGATCCAAAGAAAAAAGAAAAAAATCAATTGCTTGTGTGCCGAATTTGGATTATGGGTCTTGGGTCCTTTGAGAACAAGTCACCTCTGCAGCAGCCTGTCCTACTGACCCTCCAGTTGCTTCAAGGGTCCCCTGGAAGGCCATCATGCCTGGGGCACCAAGGTGCCCTGAGATGGTGCTGCCCGTTTGGAGAGCTCACATACTATGCTATCTACTTTGTGAATTGTTTGGGGGGTTGTCATGTCTTCTTTGTGAAACATAACCCAATTAAGAATGCACCTTTGGAGCTCCTAGAACATTAAAAGTACTACGTATGCTAACACTTTCTTTGGTACTTTGTGGGAAACTTAACTGTTTAGCTAAAACATACCAGTGTAACTGTCAGCTCCTGTGACCTGGTGCTTACAAGTCTTCAAGCCTCCTTTTTCCACCTCTATAAATTTTTTATGGTAATAAGAGGTGGGAAACTGGGACATATGAAGCCTGTCTTTAGAAGTGCGTCTATTTACAGAACTACCCTTTTGGTCACTCTGGTTTAGGAATCTATAAACAACTCAAACATGTGCCAACTCTAATAAATACTAGTTATAAATTGTTTAAAAATAATTAATGGAATTATAAATCTATGCTTTATATGGCCATAGATGCCTGACTGCCTTATAGAGAATCAAAGTCTATCTCATTATTATTTTGCAAGGTGTGAACATTGAGGAGTATTCATGACATTTTCACTTAAACCAAGTAGTAAAGATGTTGGTCCAAAGCAGGCCTGGCTCCTCCTACCCAACAACAACTCCCAACAGCCAGTTCCTGTCTGGGTCTATTAGAAGGGTCCATGTCCACCCTTTCCACCTATGCCAAGCCAGTTATTGTTTGGGGGACAGTTGAGTACAAGTCAGCGTTGCCCAACATGACTTATTTTTTTGGTCTTTTTGAGACAGGGTCTCCCTGTAGCCCCGACTGTCCCGGAACTCACTGTGTAGACCAGGCTGGCCTTGAACTCACAGAGATCCGCCTGCCTCTGCCTCCCGAGTGCTGGGATTAAAGGTGTGTGCCACCACGCCCTGCTTATTATTTTTAAAAATACTTTATTATTTTTATTTGATGTGTATGCATGTATTGCCTGCATGTAGGTAGGTGCACCTTTGTCATGCAATGCCCGCGGAGGACAGAAGAGGCTGTCGGATCCCTTGGAACTGGAGTTACAGTTGTTAGCTGCCATGTGGGTGCTGGAGCTCGAACCTGGGTCTTCTGCAAGAGCAGTCAGTGTTCTTAACTGCTGAGCCATCTCTCCAGCTCCTATTATTATTTTTTTATTTTATGTGTATGCATGTTTTGCCTGTATGTAGGTAAGTGGGCCCGTGTCATGTAGTGCCCACGGAGGTCAGAAGAGGCTGTCAGATCCCCTGGGACTGGAGGTACAGACAGTTGTTAGCTGCCTTGTGGGTGCTGGTATTCGAACCTGGGTCTTCTGCAAGAACAACCAGTGTTCTTAACCACTGAGCCATCTCTCCAGGTCCAACATGACTTATTTTTAACACATTTTCCCAGAAATAACTTGAAGCAGATTACATAAAAATAGTTTAAGGGGTGGGGAAACAGGAATAAGAAATCAAAAACCAAAGATTTGCCAACATGGGGTCAACACTGGTGGAATAATGGTTCCCATTAACTCTTTTTTCTCTATAAAATCCTAACAAGTTTATTGGACTTGCTAATGTAGCCTGCCTCCCAAGTGCTGGGATTAAAGGCGTGTGCCACCACACCTGGCTTTTTTTCTGTCTTTGAGACAAGGTCTCCCTGTAGTCCCACTTGGCCTGGACTTGCTATAGAGACCAGGCTGATCTCAATCTCACAGAGATCCACCTGTGTGCCACCACGCCCTGCTGCACATAGTTATTTTAGAAAGGAAGCATTCTATTCTCTCTGTTTTTCATTTTCTTTTCCCACCAACCTGAGAACAGGGGATAAATTTAAGTCTCCCAACTCCAAAAACATTGTAGAAGAGGAACACCTGCCGTATGGAGATTGCATGGCAGTTTTCTAAGGATGGAGAGAGAACCACAGCAAGACGTCCTGATCCACAGTGAAGCAGATGCCTTTTGCCTCCCCTTTTTTAAGAAAAAAAATAGAGCATTGAAGTTGAAATCACTCCTGAATTCCATAGACAAAAACCAATCCTGAAATATAATCTAAGATTCCTGAGTCGCATCAAGTAAGTATGCCGAGTTTATTCCCAGCTTTTCACTCATGTTTAGTAATAATTTACCTATAGTGAACTATCAGCTCCTTACACTTGGTCGTCTTCCACAGAAAGGAATTACAGATGGGCCATCCTTGCCCTTCCCTGATGAACTAACCCACTCCTGAGGTGAACTCTGAGCCTCATGTCAATACTTGCATATTTGAAATGTCAAAAGATTGGCTCTCAGACCATATTGTTCAGCCAGAATTTGTTTCTCTGTAGGTCTTAGAAATAACTGTCCTGTGCTGAAAATATGAAACTGTTCACATGCTGAGCAGCCTCAGTTCTTGGCTCTATTTAAGATCCCTGCTAGATAGATGGCTTCAAGAGAAGAAGGGGCTCTAGTGTGTAGCAGAGCCCAGGAAGAACCCGGGTGCCAGGTGTGGAAGCACACCTGCTCCCTTCCACTGCTCCTGTGTTCCCTGCTTTCCACCGCTCTTCTCTCGATGGGGAACTGTGTTCTTGCACTATGCAAGATGTTACAGCCGATTCTCTAGGCTTCTCTGGAATGGGGACAGGGACCTTCAATGAAGTTTCAAGACTTCTTTGAAACTTGGGAAATTATAGAACTATAAAAGTGAAATTTCTGAGTTTCTGTCAGTGAGAACCAAGTCTGAAGAACTTGTGAAACCAGCTACTTCTCAAGTTAAAACGTTCTGCAAGGCATTTTTTTTCTCTTTTGTCGTGCGAAGGAGCAGGCTCTGCCTTCTCCGGGTTAGTATTTCGGAAATTCCAGAATCCCCTTGGCTAATTAGCTTCTTCTCCTTTGCAGGTAGTTCCCATACCCAGTGTTTCTGCAGTGTCTTCGTCTCATACGCAGCCAGGACTCCCTTCCTCCCCTCTCCCCAAATGGAGGAGACTTGGATAGGTGAGGGCCGGCTATGTAGCAGTCTCCTGGTTGGACCAACCATCTCTACCCTCTGGGGCCCTCAGGGTAAAGGGAGCCTATTGCTTCCTGTCTCCCACCTTACACCATTCCCCCATTCTGTTCAGGGAACCAGGAGCTAGCACAGCTCCTTTAAGTTCTTCAGCTCATCAAGTCTTCTGATTTCTCCTCTGACATGAAGATTCTGAAGATGTGGCCTCAAGAATTGTCTATAGTTGGGTGTGGTGGTGCACGCCTTTAATCCCAGTACTCTAGAGGCAGAGGCAGGTGGATCTCCGTGAGAGTGAGGCCAGCTTTGTCTACCTATGGAGTTCCAGGCAGACTGGGCTACAGGGAGATCCCATTTGAAAAAATCAGAGTGGGAAGAGGGGAGGGGAGGAAGGGAGGAGGGAAGGGGCTCGAACATTGTATGAACATCCTATCAAGATCAAGGCCCAGTAATAGGTACACAGTTCTTTCTCTTTTCATAGATCAATGAAACCTAGAGTTTAGCAATGTTTTGGTTGGTTTTGTTCGTTTTGTTTTTCTCTCTCCCAAGTGAAAAGGCAGGCAGTCCAAACACCAGAGTACATGCATCCTTCCCATAGGAAAAGGACCATCATTGAGTAATCAATTTTTCTCTGTGCTTGAGCCTACAAGGGTCTCCTGACTGTAGATGACTGTTAAGTGCTAGGATTATGGTTTCATACCAGTGGTAGATGGTTCAGCTCCATTGTTTTAAATCCTGAGCAAAACTGTTCCTCCAATGGAATCTTCAATCAGAACAACCAGCCCTGGTTGTGGCTCCTTTCTAGCAGTGATAGGAAAAGAAGCCTAAATCGTCTTTGATGACCCCAGATCCAGCCATGCAGGCTGGGAAGGGAAGATGCTCTAAAAGCTTGCAGGGCATACAATTTACTGAATTCTCAGGCTCTCAAGGGCCCCTCGGTGTCCTCCTGCCCATCACTTTCCAAATGCTGCCTTCAGAGGTGGTAGGTCTCGCCCGTGCCTCCGGAGCCTCCCTCTCATGAGGAGAGCTTACAGGCACTTGTTTTTGAACCCACACATCCTAGCAGCTGCTAAACCCAAAAGTCAACACTAGGGAAGCTTGGCAAGAGAGTGCAGCAGTCTTTGGGGGAACTGAGTCACAGTTCTCCATATACAGCTCCCAGGAAGAACTAAGGGATCAGACTAAACCAATGAGCTTGACAATCAAGCCACCTAGGCCTTCTCAGTTCCTTGGTGAGGAAGGTGTTCCATGTGTGTCGGCCACAGCAGTGACAGCCCCACCCCTCTATTGTTGCTGGGATGGATTCCTGCAGAAGCTTTGTGTATCACAGATGACT